AAGTTGTCTCAAAAGTCTCATAAAATCTCGTGTCTGCGTCGTAAGTTATTCAAGGTCAAAGGTGAAGAAAAACAGTTTTTTGCGATTATCTCGGTTTCTATTGCTCCAATGATGTTAACATCTATTATCGTAATTGTAGAGCACAAAATTTGGGACAAATTTTATTTGAAACATTTTTTCATGCGCTCAATCGTTTTTGAGATAGAGGGCAGTGAGCGCGCAGCGCTCATCCATACGTACTGTAATGCAATCAACCGTGAATATCTGTGAATACTACCTTTAATTTTGAATAATTTGTATTATTTATCAGTTAATACATTGCATTTAATAACATTTTACATATTTTCAATTCATTCATTTAATGATAATGATACTTACCTACTTTGTGGAATTAAAAACTCTTTAAATGAAATACTTATTGTATGTATATCTTAATTTATTGAAAGTAGATTTTAAGTAGAAAAATAATTAAGTACTTTATCTTTCAAATGTGAAAGTTTTTATATATTAGATAATATATTATACTTGTTATATTATTGTACATCTAAAAGTTATATTAATTTTTTCAAAGTAAAGATTTAAGGAAGTAAAACGAGTTAATGTATTTTAATTTTATCTTTGTTCAGTACCTGTACATTTCTTACGATTGAAATTGAATTGCAGTGAAAATCTAGAAATCTTTAATAATTTAAAGAACAAAAGTATTAATTTTCTTCTTCTTCACCGTCATCTTCTGGACGTTCGGGAATTTCTGTTTCATCGTCATCATCTTCGGTGCCCTGAATCGTTGTTTCCAGACCTTCCAGTTATAATCATGATAGAAAAATAAGTATTTAAAACCTTACACATTTTAAAGATATAAATAAATTGAGATATACAATAAATATTTCATTAAATGCGTTTTTAATTACACAAAGTAGGTAAGTATTATTCAATGAATATGTTGAAAATATGTAAAATGTTTAAATACAATGTATTAATTGATAACTAATACAAATTTTTCAAAATTCAAGGTAGTATTCATAGATATTCACGGTTGATTGCATTACAGTACGTATGGATGAGCGCTGCGCGCTCACTGCCCTCTATCTCAAAAACGATTGAGCGCATGAAAAAATGTTTCAAATAAAATTTGTCCCAAATTTTGTGATCTACAATTATGATAATAGATGTTAACATCACTGGAGCAATAGAAACCGAGATAATCGCAAAAAACTGTTTTTCTTCATCTTTGACCTTGAATAACTTACGACGCAGACACGAGATTTTATGAGACTTTTGACACAACTTTTAAAACGCCAAAATTAAGGTATATACAAAAATTCAGCTTATTATCTCTCATTCCGAGATTGATCCCTTTTTTATCCTAAAATGACTGGACTATTAAAATATTTTAATCACATTTCCCTCGCCTTGATAAACAATTAATTCCGCGCTATTTTAAGGCATAGTCTGTAATAAAAATGCATAGTCTTATAAGTTTTCGTAAAGATGAACATTTTAATTGTAATATAAGTGTAGTACAAACATTATCGTTACGTTACTCTCCTCGATGAAATTCAAGAAAATTAAATGGGTCGTTTTTGAAATAAGAAAAAGCCAAGCGAGCGCTCTATCGCTACGTCTACACGCCGTAGACTCAACAGTGTTAATGTTATGGTATTTACAGAGCAATTATAATCGTAAAGCAACAGAATAATAGCATATTAAAAATATATCTAAAGTTATTTAGACAAATATTCTCTCACCTCTGCAGCGCAACCAATGATGTTGGAAATTTGAAATCTGTGCCCAATAACATTCCTGTAAATGTAAATGCATTCATTCGTCTAAATCGTCGTCAGTGGCCAAATCACATTTCTAACCGCGTCGATCCAATGCAATCGATGCCAAAAGCTGCACGTGTATCTTTAGGCGATAAAACTGTTTCTTCAGTTGCCTTTGTTCAATAGTAGACTTTAGATAAAGCTACAGAAGCAGTTTTATATTTATTTACTCCACGAAAAAGGTAGAATAATTGCACTGTTAATCATATTTAACATATAACAGATTTTTGCTCGCTAAAAGAAAACTAAAATACACTTTAAAGTAGTCATCGAAGGGAATAAAAGACTAAATCTTCTCTTACAGATGCTGCAAATACTAGTCTCATTCGCTTAATAAAGTAATAAGCATTTTTTTATTATTTTCAAGTTTGTATCTAAGACACAAATTTAACTGCACAGTGGCTTCTAATGATTCAGTATACCACATCAAGCTTGGTTTCTACAGTAAATCAGCACATAGTGACTGTGAAAGCTGGAATATACATTTTAAAAAAGTAAGGTAGTTACAAAACCGTAATTAATATTAAAGTCTGGAGTCATCACCAACCCATTTTCACGTTAAACATTTAATTAAATTTAGTTTTTACGTAATTTATGACGAAAAGATGCCAACAGTAATGCATGCGGAGTAAAACTTAATATATCTGGTAGTATTACAGTGTTACGTAACTGCTAAAGGAAAATCAATGTCTCGTAAAGCTCAATTAGCTTTAACTTTTAACGCTGGAAAAAACCCAAATCCTGAATTAATGGTCAATCAGATTTATGTGTTTGTACTTTTACCATGTTTTAATTGTTTGGAAAATTTCACTGCAGGTGTTCCCATAAATACTTTTGGCAATAAATCGGCACTTGCTTTATTAAAAAGCGGAAAATATTGTAGCGAAACTACACACGATACGTTGTGGTAAAGCTTTAAATGGTATGAGTGTGATAATTATGTATTATAATTACGAAAATTTTTACAAAAATGAAATATGCACAAAAATTGAAAAATATTTTATATTTTCGTTAACTTAAAAACAAGAATAAATATGTACCATATGTATCTGATAAAATCACAAAATTCACTGCAGTTAATACGAAAATAATTAATAATACAGGGATCATAATATTCAGAGCTGAATATAGCACTCTAATCATTATGATATTAATTTAAATTTAAACGGAATCAATTGTAAACGTACTGACATAGCCACAGAGGTATCATTTTGTTATTTATGTAAAATAATTGGGCAAATATAATGGTTTGCACAATATTACAGTTTATTTTCTGGACTACGTTTTGTTTCGATTAAACGAGCAAATTCCTTACTTGCAAGCTACAACATGCATAAACAATAATTATGTACGCTAAACTTTTTACTGAATCATTTCTAAACAAGATATTTTGTGTTTTGTTGATTACAATAACAGTCCACGCAGCGGTTAGAATCATTTTATTCCTTTATCACGTTTGTCTCTGTGAATTTGAATGTTGCCTTTGTTTGAGTAATAATAATAAGCCAGGTACATAGAAAATTACAATAAATAGAGGAAACGAAAACCGTGATTTTCACATTACATGAACTGTGAAAAACCAAGAAAAAATAAGACAAGGTGTGTTTCAGTTATTTGTCGAAAAATATGGCGTAGTTATTTTTAGTGTGTTGGCATTATAAAAACCGAAAAAATTTTATAAACCGACAGTAGCGCCCTCATAGTTCGGAAATGCTTTCATTTCTGACCGCTTACATTCATTACTGACTGCTTACATTCATTACTGACTGCTTTCAGGCTTTTCTGACCCGTTAAAAAGTGTATCCGTGAATCGTTTACTTTCTAACCTTTCAGGGTTCAGCAAAAATGTATATTAGTACCTGATTATGAATAAACAATGTTGCATTTGTCGAAAGTCGGGGCGTCACATGAAATCAATTACCTACTATCTAAAAAGTGTACTTAGTGGCGACAAATAAAATTAAAGTTTTTACTTTATCCAGAAGGGACGTTTTACTTTTAAATCTCAAGTAAAAGATTTTATTTCTCACGTCTCCTTACATCACTGCTGCGATAAATAAATGCGTCACGAGAGATGAAGTAAAGCATGGATTAATTGGTAAGATTATGGAAATGTTTGTTGGAAGATTATGTTATAGTGTATCAAATTAATTTGATAAAAAATGCATTTGAATTTTACCAAAAAGTGGAGAGCAGTTAAAACGTTTTTAATGATAGCATTATTCGAACAACAAATAGTTTGATATATCTGATGATCACAAATTTCTTAAATTATCGTCTTTTTGATATTTTTATTGTAACTGTGAGAAACCTACTACATACAAAGTGTAACACTAGTTATAATTATATTATGTATGACATAAATTTTTGGTTAATATTTTGCAGTCAGTATGTCACAAATTGTTACCTCTTTATATGCTGCAACTCATTTGACACTTAATTTATATAATTTTTAACAGCAATAACAATTTCAAATAACACTACCCAGTTTTGTACACGCTTTTAAAATGAGCAACAAAGTAACATTATAACAACAAAAAAAATATCATATGACATACATTTGACATCAAAAATACGTCACGTAAAAACCTTGTGAAAGAAGCAATATGTACTGTGTATATGTGAGACCTAAAATAAAAATTTTACAACAACAATAGAGGTAGTTTGAACAGTTTTAATTTCCCATTCAACTACATGGCCGCAATAACCGGCCAATATTTTCCCCACTGGTTATTTTCCGAACCACAGTCTGTTTCACCAATTTTTCATCTCCCCTTTTCTGAAGAGTATTATTACAGACAATCCTTTTACATCGTAGACACAGGTAAAACCAGCCACATGTGTTTATGTCATAACTCTAGTGAAAATTTCGCACTTAATTTGGTCAAGTTATCATAACGGGTTTTAAAGTGCACATCGAACGCAAATTTGTTAGCGTGCTGGTTGAAATCATGCCATTGGGAGGGTGTAGATGTTATTAAAAACGCGCTGAAATGGCGATTAAATTTCTAAACGTGAAATTCCCAAACACAATTCTTTTGAACACGCCGATGCAATTTGGATCCAAATCCAGCCATGCGAGCAGCAAAAGCGTTCCACACTCATTAAATCGCGCAAATTTTAGTTAGCGCGCAGGAAAATTTTTGGGCTAATTTTACATTCTTTCTGTTTCAGAAGAAAAGCCAGCAGCCATGCAGCACGCCAACACCAGCTCGTCATCCTCATATTCTCTCGTGAAATGCAGCATTCTCTTCATCGTCCTCATACCAGTGCTGCCTACCACGTGATCGTGACAGAGGATAAGATTTATTGGACTTCTATTTGTGATGTTTTATAAGTGATATAACAGTACTTTGTAAGCCTAACTCAACTTTGTAAATTTGTAAATATTTGTTTATAAACGTTTAATTGAAATTGAGATATTATTGTATCATTGCCAAACACTTCCATGTAACATCAATATGTGAAATGATTCAATTTTATTTTTATTGAATAAATGACTAAAATATTATTTACTTATTTGGCTTTCATTTCACTGTTTGCGACTGGTGACACCAGTTGGTTGGAAAAAGGTTTCAAATCATACGCCGAGATTGCTTACATTTTCATTTTCACTTCTACAAAAAGACATCTTTTTAGGTATCTATCACAGCTTCTAAATTTATTTTTCCTTATTGAAAAAAGTTGCCCGACAGAAATCCTATTTGGTTCGTGCGACATCCAATCGATTTCTCTTTAGGTAGTGCAAGACAGGGCAAAAGCTTTTACAATAAAATGTGGCACTTTGATTTAAAAATATTATTATAATTAACGTCACACTGGTACCGTCAAAACTAACATTCAAGTTAATTAAATACTACTTTTTCAGAAAAAGCTAACAGCCTTTTGATGGAATGATTTATTTTAAAAGTAAATTAATACCTTGTTTAAAACTAATTAATTAATAGAATATTACATCGAGCAGAAACTTTTTAATTAAAATGTATCCAATATTTCTCAATATTTTAGATAGAACTAGTAAAATAAATTGAAAAAAAATCTATTAACTTTTTATCCACGACGAATTTATTATGGTAACATATTAATATATTGTGAAACTCATAAGACATTGGAAAAAGTATACAAAGAATCTATTACGTTACTAATTAACCTTAATATTAACAGACTGAACATTATTCCCTTGACCAAAAAAAAATATATTTCTCTGTTCTAGAAGCTTCTCCTCATATCTTCTTTACAATATCAATTTTATTTGATGTGGGTTACTAAATGTACCCTTTGCAACATTAGACGATTCCTATTTAAATTTGATGATTGTGAAATCGTCACTTGCATTGGTCAACAAAATACCCGAAGAACGTTTTATATTGTGATCCGTGTAGGACCCCGCATCCGGAAAGAAAGAAGCAATTCTCAAAGGTATTTTTCATAAAGTATTAATTCCAGCGACTTTTAGCGTGCTTTTTATTTATATATCGCAAAAATAAAGAAAAACTGTACTTTCTGCAATTATTGCAATAACAGAGAACCCTACTTAGAAAATAATAAAATTGTCTGAAACATTTGTCGTCCTATCCAATATTTTTAAACACAAATATGAGCCTCTTCTACGTCCTCAATATTCAGATTCGTAAACATCTGCAAGCACTCTTCTAGTTCGACCTAAAGAGAAAAGTAAAAAAAGGAAAAAAAAACTCGTATTTGGCCCTCTTCAGCTACACTGGAAAGGTTACAACGTGGGTGCGAAATGAAGGTACCACCTAGTTAGGTGTAGTGGAACCTACAAAGATTAAAAATAAATACAAAGTCACACGAAAAAACGGGCATGTTCTTAATCTTCATGGAATTTCCACTTCAACTTGTTCGACATATTCTCTTTTCAAAATTTTTGTCTTTTAACAATTATTCATTGGATCACTCTTGGCAGTAACAGACAGCTTACCAGATTTTTGAAATATTGTAGTTTCAAATGTGCCTTCAAAAAGAGGTTTTGGTCCACATTAGTAGTTATGTAGTGCCGGTTCTGGCTCACTTGTTTCTGCCCATGTTCGGGTTTTAGTTGACTTTTAGGTGGGAAAATTTAAATTCATGCGCATACTTCGATTCAAAATGAGCCAGAACCGGAGCATGCGCACGAATTCAAATTTCCCACCGGACAGTGACCAGAACCTATACTATAATATGTATAATACCTATATCAGTGAAGTTCCCCTTTGTAGAAAAATAACTCTTAACGGTAAGAAAGAAATGTTATTAATTTTGTTTTTTGACGCTCTTGTATCAATTAACAACAAATAAACTGCCCATCAACAAGGATATTTATTGCGTTACTAACCTGAATTATTATGTAATGGGATATTTATGATGGTAAATTGCAAAAGATTATAGTTTTTTATTGTCATAGAAAATTAAAAATTGTATGTAAAATGTACCAGGATTCATAGTAACAGCAATTTTGATTTAGAAAAATTATCTCACGTGATTTAGACAAAAATTCCCTCCTCCCTTAACATCATCCATCAATCCGACTCGACCACGAAGCATTTGAAGCAGAAACGAGATATCGGCTACACAAACGATGTGCAAATTATTGCACATAAGAAGTAAAGTAATTGTGATAAATAGAGAGCGGAATATATGCAGCAAAATTTTGGGAAATATGATCATATGATATGCACCAAATTTATGCAGATATGCAGTAACTTTCTTTATATATGCAGAGATATGCAGTTGCATATGCTCCAAAAATTAAAAAAAAAGTTAGTAAGCGAACTAAATTTATTTACAAATTACAAAAACAGGTTTCCCGAGATTACTTTTTATTCCAGAAAATACATAAATCACATTGTTGAATTACATCTCGCTAACACATAAATCACATTTTTAACGATAATACTCATATACTAAAAAATAAATATAAACAGAACAAATTAAAAAATAGTAGTATTCGACTATTTAATTACTATTTTGGTAACAATTTATTTTTAAATATTTTTCAAAATATTGTAACAAAAACTTTTTCCGGTGATTCTAAAGTATGTATTTGTAAATAGAAAAACTGCGCACTACGTCCACAGATGTAAAAATACTTATTGGTTTAGAGCAGGCGCTACAAAACACAGTTCCTTCTTGAAGAATAAGTTCAGGAAAAGGTTTAATCCATAAATTAATTTTAGTTATCTTGGATATATTAACACACTTGTACCGCTTTAAATGCTTCCAATGCAAACTGACTATGAAAAATAATAGGATACCGTCCCTTCGACCACCACAAAACATATCATTAATACACTGAAGTAACGAACAAAAATATTGGCAATGAATGTATTTCCAAAAGTAATTAGGGCGGAATTTACCTGGAAGGATGTCTTAACACCCAGTGGTTTCTCCAAACTGAGATAAATCTCAAACCTTTCCTAGTAATTTGAAGCTCAGGACAATATTTGCAATATGATTCATGAAATTTCGTCTTTCTAGATAAATGCCGATAGAATGACAATTTTTTTTTCAAATTAGCACAAAAATTGATAAAAATGCAAAATATGCACCCGTTACGTGAAATATGCAGCAGAAGGCAAATATATGCAAATATGCAATTTTTTATAGCTTTATTCATTTTTAATTAGCATGATTCGTTCACATAATAAATATCAAGACTTATATGCAAAAAATAACGGATATGCAAATTTCATAAAATCCGCTCTCTAGTGATAAAAATCAAAGCGAATTCGTAAACCACGAGTACATGAGAATTATTTCATAACATTTAGATAAAATTAACTATTCAAAATGCCGAAACGACGTCATCAAATTTTTGGTGAAGATGATTAGACAAATTTTTGTTAGCGTTTTACCATCTACACGATATCCTAACACACATATAAAATTTGGCAACAGTCGGTCCGGTAGTTTCTGTTTAATAAACATTCACACAGACGACAAACGACAGACGACAGACAGACGGAAGTCGGAAACCAATTTTTGTGTCCAGAGGTCCAGCTCCTAGTCGTGAAGTGAATTATGAACTAGACAAGATCACTCCCCTTAATAAAGATTATTGTTAGATAATAAAAAACTGGGAAACTATGAAAAGCGTACAAAGGAAACTAAAGTAACTGTAATTAAATTACATTGATATTATAGGAAACTGCTGCAGAAATTTACTTTCAGTTAAAGTTTAATCCTTTCTTTGGCTATTTTTCAAATAAAAACTTGACATCAGTGATGCTAGTAGACGAAAGTTATAAAAACTTTCTGTGTACCGAGAATAAAGTTCCTCAGACTTTTTGAACGTGAATACAAAAAATTCGTGCAAGGTTATTTCGACAGAACTTGACTCGCCCTTGAAGTACAGTCCAACAAATCCCAGTTCTTTGAAAAATTATACAAAATGTTTGTTTTCTGATAACCTTTATACAGGGTCGCTAGAATGTATGGAAACGATTAAATATCTTGAAAAACAATGGCACAAATCACCTGAAATTAGGTGTAGGGGTACAAGGAGTTGTGCTCTAATTATTCGTCAAAAGAAATTTTGTTTGCTTCATTTGTTTTCGAGATCCAAAGCCAACTTGATGTTTTTTAAATGCCACCATATAATTAAAGCCTTTTTGAATGGAACTTTTTTTCTGAATTCATTCATATAGCACAATCATAATTTCTTTGTTTCTTTATATTTATAGTAAATAGTACGTGTAAACGGGAGACTACTTTTTCGTACTGTAAAGGTCATGAAACGTCGAGGAAACATAAAAGTAGCAATTCGTCCAATGGACTCGATCACTAGTAGTTTTACAACTACTAATTATACATGGATCTCAAAAAAAACTCTTGTTGTGCTGAATTATTTTAGGAAATAAATAGGAAGATCTAATACGTAAACCGAAAAGACATAAATGAATAAACAAATAAACTTGATTTAACCGTAATGGGACATTTCGAGTTATCTAATAAACAACACTGCGTCAAACTGATTTTTTCGATACCAGCTATAGATGAATTCCTGTGTTTGTCGATAGTTGTTGCTTTATTCACATGTCATGTTCACACGTGTTTCATACGATTTATTGCTTTTAAAACATTTCTGGTCCCCAACTAATAGCAAAAGATACAACATGGAAAAAAGGATGTTGCTATTGTTGACTTAATTATTAGAAAGTTTTAAAACCTTCTATGAAAGAATCGACAATTGTTGGTAATAGTTAGTCTGTATTTTACGAACAGTAACCGGAAAGAGCTATGAAATTAAAATTTCTATAAAAGTGATCCTGTTAAATATATATTTTCTTAATTATTTCATATGGTAACCCGAATAAACCATAGTTTGCAAAATGACTAGTCAAACTAAAAGAAAAATCAAAACAAGGACAAGAGTGTACTTATAGTCGATGACTTCAGAACCATCGTCTAGCCCACATCACAAAGCACAAAATAAAAAGAACAACAAAAAGTTGTTTTGTGTTAAAAGCGATCTATAAGAGACATAAAAACATACACTTTGCATGCGACACCTTCTGCCATCCGATCAAGTGTCATCAAAGCATTAGAATCCGACCGACCCGTACTAAGAACCTCATATAGCGAAAACAAAAACAAAGGTTTCGAATGGAATTGAAAAAATAGTATTGGACAAATCCTAAATGTATAAAGTCTTTTTTGTGTATGTTCACTTAAGTTTTCGAGTTTCAATGATCATTTCAGACATATTCTAAACGGTAAATTTAACGCAGAAATCCTATTTTTCCAGAAAAATGTTTCCACTTTTCTGAAGCACTAAATACGATAAATAAATACACAAATTAATGAAACGTGCTCAAATAGCCAAGGCGACAAACAATGAGAAAACATGACATAAATTATTTCGTGCGGTTCGGAGTCGAGACTACCAGCTACGCAAACAACATGATCACAACCACCACCCAGCGTGGCACCCGAACTGAAAATTTATATTATTTAAAGAAAAAAACACACTTTTCGCGTTCGCTACATTGTGCTTCTCCGACACGTTTCTAGTCTGCCAAGGAAGGAAATATTACCCAGTGTTATTTTTTATGAGATGACAAGTTACCTTACAAGCCCCAAACGCAATAACGATACAAATACCAACACTTATCCTTATTTATTTTTATCCGAACAGACTGAAATATTTTTCTTCGGGAATTTTACACCGCAATAGAATGAAGCACATATATCACACATTAATAAAAAAATATTTACCATTATACTGCGGAAAATGCTGCTGTAAATCAAAGTGTTTTGCTGGGAGCGCATTTGGAGAAAAGCAGGGCAACAGAATAGTTCACCGAATGCGCCCAATTTTATCGTTGAATCTGCGTATTTTATTTGGGGCGAAAATTGCATTATTGCACCGCTGCACGCTGTGTGGCAGGTAGCGTTTATGCATGAAATGAAAACCCTAACGCTAAAATTCTATTACGCACTGAAACATGTATTAATATAAATATTAAATTGTAAACAACGGCCGCAAAAGTTGTATAATTTCCAAGCAAAAAATTTGTAAAACAAACGACGCTTATTTAGTTTACACAAGTTATACATTACATTTCCTACAAAAAAATAAAAAACAAGAATACATTATAGCAATGTTTTACATAACATTAGCGAACACTGTGGTATCGTTTGTTATTAAAAATAAAACACAAGAGAATCAAAAATAAAATTATATTTAATATAAAGCCTGAAAATCAAAGTAGATACGTATATACATCATGAGGGATGGAAATAAGTACACTAGATTATTATTACTTTTGTAAAATATAACAAAATTCCCACTATTTTCTAAAACCAGAGAAACCTGATACCTCAGACAACGTAAGAAAGAGAGTAGCAGATTTTATATTCTTAGCGTGAGTCAAAGGTAAAAGTGCGTTCGTAACACGAAACAGTTCTTGCCAAAAAATCGTTAGAAATGTGCCCGAAAATTAAACCATGTTTCGTATGTTCCCTTCCCATAAAAATTAGTCAAAGTTTATTTCGACAGAAACTCCTTCGCTTTTGAAGTACAAACCCAACAAATCCAGCTTCTTTGAAAAATTATAAACTTAGATTTTGCGATGTTTGGTTCGTGATAACCTCTACATATAAAGTAAATACCTGTGACATAAATAACACCCCCGAAGCCTCTGCACCGGCAGGCAAATTGCAAAGGATTGTGCAAATTGCACAAGTACGGACAACGTAAAAAAATTGGTCTAAAGAGTTTAGACAGTACTTCTCTGTGTGTCGGAAACGTGACGACGGCATGCCTATTATGTTTTTTTTTTCTCATTACATTTTTGTAGCTGAGCATTTTAAAAAAAATTTGCGATGACATCATCAACATTTTTGCAAGGACACGTATATCATATCAGTTTGGATAAATCTAGTGTAATACTAAAAAAAAATAGGGCTAGACGGTTGAAATTTATGCGCTAGGTACGTATGGACCACGCCAGCTCGCAACCGATGTTACGCATCACAAACAAAATTATAGTAGAAACGTTTCTGTTGTATACAATAAAATTCTACAATGTCATTACAAGGGGTTGGCTAAGCTGTTCACTCACTGAGTGTCCCACCACCTTGGCATGCGCCGCTATTGTTCAACCAGAAGAAGGGTAGCTAAGAACCGCTCGGGTTACTGGTCTTCCACTTGTCCTGTTTTCAAACTACAATTTATGGTGGGTATGAACCGCTGTGAAGTTAACTAGCTTAAACCATCATAAAATTCTATTGTATAGAACATGAACGGTGTCACTATATGAGAAAACTAACGTTAATTGATTGATGATTTTAAAATGCATATCCACGACATAATAATAATAATATCTTTAATAATTTTCAAGTGTCGATTTCGCTGAAAATAAAACTATTTCTGTAAATTATTAAAAACGATGCACAATTGGAAATCGAAAGGCGAGTAAGGCAAGGACGCACCGGCCGCACTTCAGACCGGTAGATAGAATGAATAAATTTCGACCGTCCAGCTTTATTTATAAACAACGAAGTCGTAAACACTTAGCAATTTGACGTTTCCGGGCTAGGCTACCGTGCATGATGTTCGACGTCCCGCATGCTGTTGAATGCGCCAAGGTCATCAAAAAAGGTTATAAGTGCAAAAAATGTATTTACAGCACATTATCAACGGGAATACATTACATCGGAAGAATGTCACGTAGACATTTGTTTGATTTAAATGAGTTTATCGCCCCAAAACAGATGACTAAAATTATTCATAAGCCTCCATTGAACAAAATATTCTGAATGTTATTATTATAATTCTTACCTTATCATTATTTTATTGCTATAAAGACGAGCGTATTCTCACATTTTCCAGAAAATGGGGTGGCTCATTCTTAATATGATCAATAATAAATTGACCAATTCATTGATTTTTTTGAGTCATCTGTTTAAGCAAATGTAAAAAATATGAATGCAATGATTCATATTTTGCACATTTGTGAAAGAATTTATTCGGCAAAATTTTGAGATGTAATAAATTTTTTGGGGTTGATAAACAGATACATTTTCATTAAAAAGTTACCACGCTCACAATAACTTCAAAACGTCAAGATTTCAAAGTATTCAGTTTTGCAATTCTTAATTTAATCAATAAAATAAATTGACTCAGTCATTAATTTTTTTCACACACCCCGTATAATGGCCATTTGCACCAACGTTTAAGTCAGGTACTTAAAATTTAAGCTTTTCTTAAAACTAAGAATGCGTTGCACCAACGGTTAACTCTCTCTTAAAGCCTTCTAAGAAATCCTTAATTTAAGTGCCCGTTTACCTGTGGCTTAAATTTGTAAGCAGTGCTTAACGAGACACAACGATACAACGCATGTGCGGTAGCCATAGTAACGGAACAATACTTCGTTTCTATTGGATGATGGTTTTGGAAATCGAAAATTTGCAATTTTGCAATCATTTCAGCCATTTCAACCTTTCAACAGTAGCAGCGTTCGTGAGTGTTTTGTAATCAGCGGTGAAAAGTGTGGAATAAAGTTCTAACAAGACAAAAAATAATATAAAGAAGGTATGTACCACAATTAGAACGTTTTGTTGTAAAGAATTATGTACATATGTTTTATTTTCAGATGAATAATACAAAGCGCCAGAGGGGAGCAAATTTTACGGCAGATGAAAAGACCTTTGTCTTAACATTAATCAGTCATTAATAGGAGGAGGCCAACAATAACAGCACTACATTCCAGCCATTTATCGAAAGCTTACGACGAACTAGCTACAAAGAAAATGAAGTTAGTTGAGGCACAACTCGAAGGACAAAAACATGACGAAGAAAGAAAGCAAGTTAAATTTTTGCTTCGAAAGCAAATTTTAGAACTAGATATTGAAATAAAAAAGGAGCAGCTGAGAAAACTGAAACAGGATAATACGGAAAAACAATAAAATATAAAATAAAATATTAATAAAACATTTATTTGTTAAATTTATAAATTTCCAAAAAAATTTGTTATAAAATTTCTTCTAATTTCACTGCCCCTCCTTTGGTTGTCAATAACATTGACCTCTGGTATTTGACCGTCTTCAATAAGGCGCTGCAGTTCATGCTGGTTAATGTCAGCTGGGAGAGGAGGTTCATCTTCACCGATTTGTCGAGCTATATTATGCAGGACTGCACACGCAATTATAATACTCAAAACAGTTTCTTTTTTAATCGACATCCATATGCTAGCACAGGAAATCTTCGTTTGCAGACACCAAAAGTTCTTTCGATGACATTTCTTGTACGAATATGAGCTTCATTATACAACTGCTCTTCTTGAGTGTGTGGATTTAATAATGGTGTAAAAAAATAGTGTCTTACACCATAGCCACCATCACCTGAAAACAAATGCAATGTATTTTTACACATATTAAAAACTGAAACTTACCCAATATTATACAATTTGGATAATCTCCATTCTCGCGATGTCAAAAAAACCATTTTCAATAAGCCTTTGCTCCATGAGAGTTTGGGGCATCTTAATAAAATGGTGGTAAAGCTTTGCTATAGCGTCCAATACACGTCTAATTATTCTCGACACAGTTGAGATGTGCATTCCCATATAGTCCGCTACTGTACTCAAATGGACCCCGCTTGCAAAGAATCGTAATGTAGTAAGCAGCTGATTTATAGGTGACACCGCCTGATTTCTGTAATGATCAAATCATAATATATTTACACATTAAATTTTTTAACCACTTTTACCTGTCTGTAGGAAATTCCAAGCGTTCTTCAATTAACGTTAATAAATGTAAAACTGTTGGTTTTGTTAGTCGAAATCTTTGGAAAAATTGAAGCTCTGGTAAACCATAGAAATGATCAGCTCTAGTGTACATCTGCCGTGGAATTCCCATCTCAACAATTTCAATGTCTTCTAAGTCATTCTCGTACGCGTCGAACACATCCATTTTTTAAACACACATTCAACACCACATCAAATTAATTCAACAATATCACAACTACACACGCGCGGTGTCAATGACTGTTGTACACACAACAAACTAACCTGAAATTTTTGATGTTCCAATAACAACAAACGTCAGTGTTGCCAATAGAAATGAAACTTTTACACAATTCCCCAACTAAGTATTACTTGGTTAAGTAGAGTCTAAGCGGTGACGGTGCAACAACTGTACAATTTAAGAAGTAGTTACTTTTAAGAATTGCTTAGCTAAGCAATGCTTACTGCTAACGTTGGTGCAAATGGGCATAAGTAAATCTAAAAAATTTTTATGCAGTGATAAATCACAATTACAGACTCATCATACTTTGCACAATCCACATTTAAGATTGCATTTTTTCGGAAAAATTTTGAGGTGACGTCATCAATTTTTTAAGGGGGGATGAAGAAATATATTTTGACTAAAAATTTATCATGCCTATGATAACTGTAAAACATCTCCAAGATTTCAAAGCATTCGGTTTTGTAGTTCCTGATTAAATAAATAAAAATATATTCACGCATGCATTAATTTTTTTGAGTCACCCTGTATATGCAAATCCAAAAAATATGAATGAAATGATAAATTACAAGTACAGACTCATCACATTTTCTACATTTCAGATAGGAATACTATTATAGTATTTTATAGAACTACATGTCTAGTACTTGCTTTTCCGATTCTTTCCATAGTTTTTTTTTTTACATCAAAATGGCATTAAGCTCCAGTGGCGTATCCAAAAACAATTTGCCCTATTCAGCAAACTTTTGAGGTGACGTCATCAATCTGTTGGAGGGGACAAGTAAATATATTTTGAATAAAAACTTATCATGCTTATCACAACTGTAAACCATCTACAAGATTTCAAAGCATTCGGTTTTGCAAATTACAAATTAAATGTCAAAATGTTGTTCCATAATTTTGATTTTTTTTTTCCAAAAATCTGGAAGTTTCGGGTAAAATCTCAATTCGGAGTCATAAACTACATGTGTAAGATTATGTTATTTGATACAATTTAAAACCCATTTACTATGTACAATTTCGAAGTGACGTCATCCAATTAGCGGTGGGGATGATCAGACAAATTTTGGTTGGCGTTTTACCATCTACATGATATATCTAATATAAATAAAAAAATTCATAACAATTGGCCCAGTACTTTCAGAGATTATCTGTCTAATAAAAATCCGGGACGGCAGACAGACGGACAGACGGCCAGACGGCCAGACGGGAGACCTATTTCTTCGTCCTCTAGGGGTCATGGTCGAGAAAATGCAAAAGTAGAGAGTCGGCCAACGGACTCGATTACAATACTTTCTTTGCTTACTCTCGGGAAGTAATATATTTAAAGCAGATAACCAACGGAAAAAATTGGTCTAAAGAGTTTAGACAGTACTTCCCTCGCAGTCGGAAACTTGACGACTGCATGCCTATTGTGTTTTTTTTCTCATTACATTTTTGTAGTGGGAATTTAAAAAAAAATTGCGATGACGTCATCAACATTTTTGCAAGGACACGTATATCAGTTGGGATAGATGTAGTGTAATACTAAGAATAAAATTATTATTTTCTCAAATTTTCGGGAAAATGAATTGGGTCGTTTTGAATTTGATTTGTAATAATCAATAAAATAACGAAACAATTTACTCACGTATACGTATCAGAGGCAACTGAAAATCGTGTATGTATAAACATTCTTAATTTAAGATGACAGGCGTAACAGCATATGTGAGAGTCAAACAGAGAAACTGTAAACAAAACGACCATCGGTTTTATTGCTTCGACTTCCGCTTATTATATAAAACATTGGGTTTTATTTTAATTCTTGACGGTGAAATTCACAATTGGTTGATTATAAACATGTCTATTTCACATTCGCGGAACCAAGTGAGCGCATAAAACAAATGCAGGTCTGTAATGTTAAAGTCGATGTAAATAAGCGTGCTATCCTTATGTTTCAACCGAGTTTTTCCTTTAACAAATTTTGTGTCTACCAAATTGGGTTGGTTGGGGTGTAATACTAATAATAAGTGTTGCCTTTAATTTAATCAATAAAATAAATTGACTTCATTAATTTTTTTGAACCACCTCTTAAGAAAATCTAAAAAATATGAATGGAATGATAAATCACAAGTACAAACTCATCATATTTTTTTGCATTTTAGATAGGATTTATTCAGCAAAATTTAAGGGTGACGTCATCAATTTTTTTAGGAGGGATGAACAAATACATTTTGAACAAAAGTTTACCATGCTTATAATAACTTTAAAATATTCCCAAGATTTCAAAGCATTCGGTTTTGTAATTCCTGATTAAATCGATAAAATAAATTCACGCCTTCATTAATTTTTTTGAGTCACCCTGCATATGCAAATCCAAAAATATGAATAGAATGATAAATCACAAGTACAGACTCATCATATTTTGTACATTTTTGATACGATTTATTCGGCAAACTTTTGAGCTGACGTCATCAGTTTTTTGTAGAAGATAACCAAATATATTTTGACTAAAAATTTATTATACTCTTTATAACCTTAAAACATCTGCAAGATCTCAAAGCATTCGGTTTTGTAGTTCCTGATTAAATCAATAAAATAAATTTACGCATTCATTAATTTTTTTGAGTCACCCTGTATATGCAAATCGAAAAAATTTGAATGGAATGATAAATCACAAGAAGAGACTCACCATATTTTGTACATTTTAGATAGGATTTATTCAGCAAAATTTTGTGGTGACGTCATAAATTTTTTAGGGGGGACGACCAAATACGTTTTGATCAAAAATTTACCATGCTTATGATAATTTTAAAATATCTTCAAGATTTCGAAGCATTCGGTTTTGTAGTTCCTGAGTAAATCAGTAAAATAAATTTACGCTTTCATTTATTTTCTTGAATCACCCTGTATATGCAAATCCAAAAAATATGAATGGAGTGATAGATCACAAGTACAGACTGATCATATTTTGTACATTTTAGATATGATTTATTCGGCAAATTTTCGAGCTGACGTCATCAAGTTTTTGGAGGGGACAAGCAAATATATTTTGACTAAACATTTATTATGCTCTTTATAACCTTAAAACATGTGCAAGATTTCAGAGCATTCGGTTTTGTAGTTCCTGATTAAATCAATAAAATATATTTACGCATTCATTAATTTTTTTGAGTCACCCTGTATATGCAAATCCAAAAAATATGAATGGAGTGATAGATCACAAGTACAGACTCATCATATTTTGTACATTTTAGATATGATTTATTCCACAAACTTTTGAACTGACGTCATCAAGTTTTTGGAGGGGATAAGCAAATATTTTTTGACTAAAGATTTATGATGCTCTTTATAGCCTTAAAACATCTGCAACATTTCAAAGCATTCTGGTTAGCAAATTAAAAATTAAATTTCAAAATGTTGTTTTATAATTTTGATTTTTTTCACTAGCAGCCAGGACGCATGCAAATGTCGACTCATTTAGTGGTAGCAAATTCAACTTTTGCTACCACGGGTTCAAAAAGAAAAATTGAGGTTATGTACGCAATGTTTGATGTGATTATTTCTTAAAAAATGAACAAATGTGTGCTACAAACATTACTTGAGTATACGCATGGTAGTTGGTAGACGGTAGAAGATAAAATGATTAACTCAGCGACAAGTATAAACGGTTTTCTTTGTGTTGAAGATTTAGATTAAGTTTGATTACAAATCAAAACAAAATCATGTTGCGTAAAAAAATTGAACGTTTATTTTTGCAGTTTATTGTCTTATGGTTTCTACTAGTGAAAAAAATAGTATATTAACCACGGTTGCAAAGCCACTTCTAGATCTCGCGCTTCAGAGCCCTCGACGCTGCGCGTCTCGGGTTCTAATTTGCGCTCGGTCTAGAATGCTTGGCTCTGCAACCTTGGCCAATAATATACTATTTTTTCCAAAAATCTGGACGTTTCGGGTGAAAAGTCGATTCAGAGTTGTAAACTACATGTCTAGGACTATGTTATTTTATACAATTGAAAACCCATTTACTATGTACAATTTTGAAGTGACGTCATCGCATTAGTGGTGGGGATGATTAGACAAATTTTGGTTAGCGTTTTACCATCTACATGATATTCTTAATATAAGTACAAAATTTCACAACAATCGGTCGAGTACTTTCGGAGATTATCAGTCTAATAAAAATCCGGGACGGCAGACGGACAGACGGACAGACATTTTTTTAAGGCTATAAAGAGCATCATAAATCTTTAGTCAAAAAATATTTGCTTATCCCCTCCAAAAACTTGATGACGTCAGCTCAAAAGTTTGTGGAATAAATCAAATATAAAATGTACAAAATATGATGAGTCTGTACTTGTAATTTATCACTCCATTCATATTTTTTGGATTTGCATATACAGAGTGACTCAAAAAAATTAATGAATGCGTAAATATATTTTATTGATTTAATCAGGAACTACAAAACCGAATGCTCTGAAATCTTGCAGATGTTTTAAGGTCATAAAGAGCATAATAAATGTTTAGTCAAAATATATTTGCTTATCCCCTCCAAAAAATTGATGACGTCAGCTCGAAAGTTTGCCGAATAAATCCTATCTAAACTGTAAAAATATGATGAGTCTGTACTTGTAATTTATCACTCCATTCATATTTTTTGGATTTGCATATACAGGGTGACTCAAAAAAAATTAATGAATGCGTAAATATATTTTATTGATTTAATCCGAATGCTCTGAAATCTTGCAGATGTTTTAAGGTCATAAAGAGCATAATAAATGTTTAGTCAAAATATATTTGCTTATCGCCTCCAAAAACTTGATGACGTCAGCTCGAAAGTTTACCAAATAAATCATATCTAAAATGTACAAAATATGATCAGTCTGTACTTGTGATCTATCACTCCATTCATATTTTTTGGATTTGCTTATACAGGGTGATTCAAAAAAATTAATGAAAGCGTAAATTTATTTTACTGATTTACTCAGAAACTACAAAACCGAATGCTTTGAAATCTTGCAGATGTTTTAAGGTTGTAAAGAGCATAATAAATGTTTAGTCAAAATATATTTGCTTATCCCCTCCAAAAAATTGATGACGTCAGCTCGAAAGTTTGCCGAATAAATCCTATCTAAACCGTAAAAATATGATGAGTCTGTACTTGTAATTTATCACTCCATTCATATTTTTTGGATTTGCATATACAGAGTGACTCAAAAAAATTAATGAATGCGTAAATATATTTTATTGATTTAATCAGGAACT